CACTTTGCACCGATCGTTCTTGAAGATAGTTTTAAACATAAAAATGTTTGAAAGTATAATTTAACTAAGGTTTTCCTCATCGTGTAACCAGTTACGCACTTCGACAAAAGTATAAGATATCACTAATTGTTTGGTAATTCAGAAAGATCTATGCTAAGTGTAGAAAATATTTTGTATTACTAAAATCATAGCATTATTTTTTTAAATATTAGACACAAACATAGATAAAATATGCATATCGATAATAAAATTTTTTTGATGTTATTTAGGATGACATCTTGTAAAAATATTTTTACTGATTTAACATTGTTTTCACCCTTAGTAAGCACAGTATCACTATGTTGTCATAAAGGTTAGTCCGAAGCAACTTGTGAATTGTTGGCAACAGATAACAGAATACTCAAACTGCCTAAAAAGAAAACATAACTTTACTGGGCTGGGCAAGAGAGGACATTCCATGTGCTGGTGGGAGTTTGTTCCTTGATTTTTTTTTTTATATATATAAACCATGATATCATACATGTAGATAATGTTATATAAACAGTTACTTTACAATATCTCATTGTTCATTGTTTGGTCCAATAAGCAGCTATTCTCCCTGTGTTTTCTAATCCAGAATTCTGATTTTGACCACAGCCTTGGCTATAACTCACTTCTCGTCCTGGCCCAGATTGCATTATCACAATGGTCAATGTAATGTTTCATACTGTACTCTTCTGTCTACTATTTGGCCAGCATTGTAACTCTTCTATGTTTCTTGAACACTCTGCTGTCATTGCCTCTATAGTTCTGTAAATGTTATTGTCTTAGAGCCTTGTTAATTAAACGGGAACAGTCACTACCCAGAATCTATAATATCATTTTTAGCTATCCTTATGGTTAACAAATATGTATTTTGTAGCTAAAAATCCTTGCAACGGCCCTGCCCGTGGGCTCACAATCTAAAGGATACAGTGGGGATTTGAGACAAGAGGTAGCAGGGGAACTTTGGAAATGATGGCTAAAGAAGCTAACAGAGAGTATTCTGTAATGGACACCTCCATTACACCAGCAGTCAGCATAGAGAAAGCATACAGAGATCCAGAGAAGTGAAATATTGCTTTAATTTCTCCTCTTCATTTGCAATGTTTGTCCTCGCTTTGCCTTGTCTGAACCGGATTATAATGTAACTTGCTAAATCCTAAGTTTTATTCAATGGCTTAAATTCCGGAGAAGCGACAGTTCCTCTTGAAGTGTATCCTTCTATACCAAAGTCCATTAATATATTGCCTACTCCATTCCTGAAGTGAAGTGCTGTTTCCCAAGAGTTTACTCTTCACCTTTTCCCCCTTTGGAAGTGATCACTATACAAAAAGACACCTTCTAGAGCAGGCTTCTCCATAGGCTGAGAGTCATGAGAGTTGTAGTTCAGCAACATCTGGAGGGCCGGAGTTTGGGGAAGCCTGTTCTAGAGGATGATGTGAGCTCAGATACAAAGACTTTAGGTTAGCCGTCTAGCTCCGCAAAGCTAAGCATGTAATGATATGGAGTAAAAGAAGTTCAGAATCCGGAATGTTATAATAATGGAATATATTACTGCATGTCTACTAGGGAAGGGTTAATGTATCTTGTTGCTTTACCATTATAATTTAAAAGTGTTATTTTCTCTCTTGAATCAGGCAGATGAAGTTAAAAGAATTTGCCATTATTGTTTGTATGCAACAGAGATTTAACTGTGAACTAAATCTTGAGTTTGCTTCATACAAATTATGTTAATAATTATTAGAAGGAACCTGGCAGAGGTTGTTATAAGTCATAGGTTGTGAGACTAAGATCACTAAAGGAGTAGATCCTTTAACATTTACAGGTTGAACTCACATATGCCAAGAAAGATAAGCAGTACTCAATCACTGGAAACATTATTATGTTATTATTTACATAGCACCAACAAATTCCATAGCGCTTTACAATGGGTGGACGAACAAACATGTAGTTGTAACCAGACAAGTTGGACACGCAGGAACAGAGGGGTTGAGGGCCCTGCTCAATAAGCTTACATGTTAGAGGGAGTGGGGTAAAGTGACACAAAAGGTAAGGATAGTATTAGACTAATGGCAGTTGCAAGAGAGGAATCTGTCGGTAGTTATTAACAGTTTAATTGATCCGCTTTTATGAATATGTGGGTTTTTAATGATTTTTTTGAAGGAGCGGAGACTGGGTGAGCATCTAACGGAGGAGGGAAGCGAGTTCCACAGGAACGGTGCAGCCTTCGAGAAGTCTTGAAGGCGAGCATCAGAGGTGGGAGTACGGACAGAAGATAGACGTAAGTCTTCAGCAGAGCGTAAGGACATACTTGTGTATTAGGGAGGATAGATAGGTAGATGACACTACATTGTACTGGTGTCATTATTCCAGTATTTTATTCCAGCAATTTTATTGATGGAACCTGGCAGAAGTTGCTGTGAGTCATAGCCTGTGAGACTAAGATCACTGAGGAGTAGATCATTTAACTCACATATGCCAAGAAGGATAGGTAGTACTCAATCACTGGACCCATGTCCAAATTCCAGTATATTATTCCAGTGTTCCAATGTTTTACTTTTTAGAGAAAAACTATCTCCAACACTTCACTTGCATGGAAGTCTATTAGTGTCTGAAAAGCTAGAAAGATTACATTTTTTAATCCCAGTTTTATCTATAGACCTGTTATTCCAACAGTACTTGGATGCAAAAAAAAAATTATACTTGTAGTGAAAATTCTTGTTGAAAATATTCCTTCACTTCTATTTCCTAATGTTATGTTTTAGTTTAAACATATTAGATTAGTTAAAAAAAATCCATACTTTTTATTTTTTCCAACATTCAACATCTTTCCAGTGTTTTATTAGATTAGTAAAACACAAAAGTGCTCCCTTTAGTGTGTATGATATTTGTAAATATCCTGTAGCATCTAAAGGTATGCACAGTACATTTTACTTGGAAGTCTAGTTTTAGATGTTTAATTTAAGTCTACAATACTTTCAGGAAACATATAGATATTTAACAAAGTATGTGCGGCATATGTTCTTCTGTGTGATTACAATGTGGGATAATTGAAGGCTATACCCGTGAATGTCCATTTTGCAGATGGGTATAGCCATGTACCTTTAAGACATAAAATGTCAGCTTTTAAATAATGACCTTTTTGTGACATACATTTGATCATTTGTTAAATGCTGCCATATAAAATATGGAATTCCATGTGTAAAACTACAAATCCCCAATCTGCCTCGAAAGGTCATTTAAAGCCTAAAAGAACTTGACATTTTCTCTTTAAACATCTGACTCGTTGGCCCAGATTTTACGAATGCTTGGTGTTAAATGACCTTCACAGTTCATTTAAAGCAGCTCTGTCACTTTTTTTTGTAGCTTTTCATATAGATAGAATCTTTATGGAAAGCTCTTCTTAACTATGTTGGAATTTCTTTGAAATTTCAACTCAGTGAAAGATATTCATGCAATAAATTAGGGACTACTTTGTCTCATGTAATTGCCGATATCTGACTATCTTCGGCCTGGAAGGACTGTGATGGCTCCAGGACAAAAAAATATTTTGGTCATGTCGGCATTAGATTTTTAGAGAGAGACCAGTGGCAGCAGACTGGAGTGTAACTTTAAACTACAGAGCTCCAGTGCTCGAATTGATGAAGGGCACTCCTGACCATCTTACTCCATGTGTGTGGGGGCTGTGGGAGTTGGCCAAGTGTTACTGGCTGAGAGTGACATGTGTGGAACTGGTGAGTGGAACATGCTTGTGGTTCAAATGAAGGGGATATGTGTGGTAGTTGGATGAGTGAGATGTGTGTGGTATTTGGATGAGTGTGAGGTCTGGGGGGTTAACTGTGGGAGAATGTTGGGAGCTAACTGTTTAATTTAAAAAAAAAGTGTTAAAATAAAAAATAAAATAAAAACTTTTATTTTACCCCCTTTTGCAGTTAGAGTGTATAATCCATGATTCCTCTGTGGTCCAGCTAGGGGTCCCTGATGGTCCAGTGTGAGTATGTGTGAGTACAGATCTCACGCGACCTTGGAGAAGTGTACTTTTATTTAATATACCGCTGAATAGGCAATATATTATATAACAGTTTTGCAAGGAGGTTCTCTCCTGGATAGGCCCCCCACTCTGACAGGGGGAGCCTAGGAGTTCCACCTGTGTCAGCAGACAAATATATTCCATGACTGAAGGGAGCACTGATGAAAGAGAGATGGACAACCGTTAGAAACAATCTGATCTCAATGTGCAATAATTTTATAGTGTCAGGCTTCTCTCAGAGGACAAGTATTATAATGCTCACCAAGTATTGATAATTTATTTTATATAACTAGCTGTATTTAGGGAAACTGTGAATTCATCATCTCCAGTGTACGAGCAGCAACATTATCGACAGTATGAAAACATGCAAGCCGGATGTTGGTTAGCAGCCATGCAAGTGGCAAACCACTAGAAATTGGTCGAGGGTACTGCAAGCATCTTACCCACTACAGTGACCCTTTACATTTTTTCCACACTTCCTTTTGGTCTCCTTTAATGGATAAATTAAAAGGACACTCCAGGCATACTCCAACTTGTTTGTTTGATCAGAGAAAAATTAAGATCTCATATGGCTCTACGCAGGTTCCTAGTTTAGGACCCCCTTCATTCTTCAAGTAGGAATAGTATGTGTGAATGAATGCAGTGTGTGTGTGTGTGTGTATGAATGCAGTTTGTGTGTATGAATGCAGTGTGTGTTTGTGTATGTGATGCAGAGCCTTGGTGGGGGGGTGGGCATTTTTTTAAAATTATTATTATTATTTTAATATTATTATTTTTTTATATTATTAATATTTTTATTTTATTATTTACATTTTTATTTATATTTTTTTTGTCCCCCCTCACTGCTTGATACATGGCAGGGAGGGGGGCTCTCACTCCCTGGTGGTCTAGTGGCATGGGCTGTGTAGGAAGGGGGCTGGTAGAGAGCTGTAACTTACCTTTCCTGCAGCTCCTGTCAGCTCCCTTCTCTCTCCTCCGGTCTGGTCAGCTCCCCTGTCAGCTCCACTGCAAGTCTCGCGGTCTTACAGTGGGAGCTGACAGGGGAGCTGACCAGACCGGAGGAGAGAGAAGGGAGCTGACAGGAGCTAAAGGAAAGGTAAGTTACAGCTCTCTGCCAGCCATCAACAAGACCGCCGGGCTTATAATGAGCCCGGCAGTCCTGGTCTGTATTATGGCAATGTAAGTTGCCATAATACAGACACTGACTCGAGTATAAGATGAGTGGGGGGTTTTCAGCACAAAAAATGTGCAGAAAAACTCGTCTTATACTCGAGAATATACGGTAAATACATTTCTACCAAGAAGATGTTTTGTGAAAAATGGACACATGGCTAAAGGGTTGGAGTTTATTTGCAGAAAACAGCAACATTTGTTTTTGGTTTTTTTAATAACAAAACTGTAGAGATAGGAACAGTGACATAAGGCCAAAACCTATCAAATGCTGTTAAGCTGTAATGGTGTCCAGAATTATCCTATAAAGACCCCAGAAGCACTTTAGCTTGCTAAAAAGCTTTATGTGTGAAGTGTGTTCTCTTTATTACATTTTGCAAAAAGTGCAGATTTCAATAGAAATTGACACTCTTATGAATTAACCTAATTGCACCCCCTTGGCTTTCAAGCAAACGACAGGTCATGTTACTTCCTAGTTTGGTTAGCTAAGTGAACCTAAACTCAAGAGGCAGCAATTGCTCAGAGCACCTGCCTTGCAAAGACTTCTCATTGAGCTGCATTGGGAAGTCTGATTGGACAGCCACAGAAAGTGTGGGTGGGGTTAGAAGGGGAGGGCTTGCAAAGTCAGAACTGCAACATTTGCAAGCTATTTAAGATATACCCTGGGGGGCGAAGCCGAGCAGCCAGGCTGAGCAGACATGCCGAGTCCCAGCTCCTGATCCAAATCGACTTTTTGGGGGAAAATCCCAAGAAACTCGGCACGTCCCTCTGCAGGTTAGCTCTAAACAAGCAGGGGACACCCGGGCGAACAACCCGATACCACATGTTAGTAGATCGATCCAACCACTGAGGCCTGCTGAGCATGGGCATCCGCAGGAATTTTTCGGGGGGGTGGGGCATAATTGTAATGACATCCATGCTTGGTACCTTTTTAACAGTGTCATGAAAGGGAAGGGGCATAGCCATTATCATATAAAGCCAGGGTGAATAGCGTTTTCACAACTATGGTGTCAGGAATATATGTTTGTATTCCTGACACTATAGTGTTCCTTTAAGCAAATTAAAGGACCATTCTGGTCACCATAACAACTTCACCTAAATGAAAATGCTATGATGCCAGGAAGCCCCTGGGTGCTCGCTTTCCTTTAAGGGGTTAAATCGCTCTCAAATGGTTTAACCCCAAAGGCTTCCTCCAGCTCCAGGTCGCTCAGTGGTATTTGGCTTCTGAAACAGAGTGTCAGGAAGTGCAGATTGACGTCAGGCATGGGTGCCGCTGATTGGCTAGAGTGGACAGTTGACGCTCTAAGCCAATCGCTAGTTCCCGGTTCATAAAATATTTTTACTTTTTTATGAATGGGGAGCTACTGATTGGCTTAGAGTGCCAGCTGACCGCTCTAGCCAATCAGCAACACCCCTACCCAACGGCACTCTGTGCTTCCTGACACTCAGTAAATAAAAGTGAACACATTAATACTGATATTTTTTTACCTTTGGAGATGAGAAGGTCCAGCGTTTCCCTGCCTGGCCCAGGTACCAAAGCCTTATGATGTGGTGTCCAGAATAAAGTGGAGGGTTCACTTCATTTGTCCTTCCTGCTTCAATCTCCTTTTCCTCTCCTTCATTTGACAGTCTTTTTTTGCTTCTGACACTGTTTTCTATCCTTGGCCCCTTCTGCTCTTTTACCTTTCTGCTACTTTCTGCTTATTTTGCGCGCTTCTGGTCCTTTCTCATTCTGATCCCTTTCTGCTCCTTGCAGACCCTTTCTGCTCCCTTTTCTACTTTACCTTTGTGCTCCTTGCTGTCCCTTTCTGCTCCTTCTCCTACTTTAACTTTGTGCTCCTTCTGATTCTTTCTGCTCTTATACCTTTGTGCTCTTCCTGCTCCTTGCAGGCCCTTCCTGCTCATTCTCCTATTTTACCTTTGTGCTCCTTCTGCCCCTTCCAGCTCATTTCTGACCCTTTCTGCTCCCTCTACTTTACCTTTGTGCTGCTTTACCTTCCAGCTCATTTCTGACCCTTTCTGCTCCCTCTACTTTACCTTTGTGCTGCTTTACCTTCCAGCTCCTTGCTGACCCTTCCTGTTCATTTCTGTTCCTTTGTGCTCCTTCTCCTACTTTACCTTTTGTGCTCTTTGCTGTCCCTTCCAGCTCCTTGCTGCCCCTTTCTTCTCCTTGATGTCCCTTCCTGCTCATTTCTGTTCCTTCTCCTTTTCTTACTTTACCTTCCTGCTCCTTGCTGACTCTTCATGTAGGCTGTCCCCCCCATCTCTCACTTCCATAGGCGTGCGCACGGGGTGTGTCAGGTGTGCCTGGGCACACCCTAATCCCTGCGGCACGCCAATAGATTGAGACCGGCAGGGGAGATCTCTGGATCTCCCCAGTCGGCTCATGAAGAGCCGATGCTATCCGAGCGGCGGCTTTGGTCTAAGCCTCCATGGGCCGGTGGGGAGATCAAAGTTCTACCTCACCGGTCCACAGCAGCATGGAGGGAGGCAGCAGAGAACCCGGGCTAGAGTTCACTCTCCACTGAACCACCAGGGAAGGCAGCAGGACTGGGATATTAACTAATCTGCCCCCACCTCCACCCAAAAATACAGCACACACACACACAGCACACACAGCACACACAGCCCACAAACAGCACCCACACACATACAACACCCACACACACCCAGCACACTAACAGCATCCTCACAAACACACAAAACCCACACACAACACCCGCACAGCACCCAAACACAAACAGCCCCCTGACAAGCACACAGCACACAAACAGCACACTAACAGGACTCGAACAAACATGCACACAAAAACACCCTCTCACACACACACAGCACACTACCAGTTCCCTCACACACAGCACACTACCAGCACCCTCACATACACACACACATACATATACACATGGCGTGTGTTTGTGCTTTAGGGTGCACACCCTAATGCAATAGGCTGTGCACGCCTATGCTCACTCCCCTAATCTATAGGCTGCTGCCCCCCCCAGCCTCACTCCCCTAATCTATAGGCTGCTGCCCCCCCCAGCCTCACTCCCTAATCTATAGGCTGCTGCCCCCCAAATCCTATAGGCTGCTGCCTCACTCCCTAATCTATAGGCTGCTGCCCCCTCCCAATCTATAGGCTGCTGCCCCCCCAAATCTATAGGCTGCTGCCCCCCCCAAATCTATAGGCTTCTGCCCCCCCCAAATCTATAGGCTATCTCAAACCCTCCCCCCATCCCCCACTTACCTGATCTGTAGTTTGTCTCTGCTGGCTGCATGTGCTGTTCCCCTGCGGTTTCAGGGATAGATGCAGCTTCCTATCCCTGTCTCTCTCCATACACAGCACCACCTACTGGCCGGCGCCGGTATTGCAGTTCATTTTCAATCACACGAAAAATACAGAGGGGGGGGTCAAGTGCCCCACCTTACCCCCCCTGCGGACGCCCATGGATGTAGCATAACCTGATTGCTCAGTACAGAACAGGTTAAAATTCTTTCTTTGACGTTACCAGTAACTTAAGGGTATAGAAGGCATTTTCTGCCGCATGGGTTCATTTAAATGGTTTGTTTTTGTTGGTAAGACAATCATACAGTGGTTGCATGTAGATAGCTACGGAACGCAGCCAAGGACGGCTGTAAGATATCAAACCGAGAAATGTACGAACCTGGGCTAGACTGCGAGGAGGTCTATTATTTTGAACTGCAGTCTTTCTTCTTTCCGTGAGATGTTTTATGCCCTGGGAAATGCAATGTCCTAGGAAAATAACTTTCTCTACACATGCTTGCAGTTTCGTTTTTGTCGCTTTACAACCTGCTTTTTCCAGGAATTTCAGCAAGGAAAGAGTGTTTACAATACAAGATTCCATATTATCGCAACATAGGAGTAGGTCATCGATATACTGCAATAAAATTACGTTATTTGACCTTTTCCACATTTCAAGAATCTGGACCATAGCCATGCTGTACATAGTGGGTGAGTTTTGTGCTCCCTGTGGCAATACTGTCCAAGTGTACTACTTGTGTTTATGTGTAAATGCAAATAAAAACTGACTGTCGAGATCCAGGGGGACACTAAAAAAAGGGGTTTGCCAAGTCAATAACAGTAAATACCTTAGAGGAAGGTGGTATTTGTGCCAACAAGGTGTGTGGGTTGGGAACATTAGGGACAATGAGTTCAGTTACAGCATTAATTGCCCTCAAATCATGTACCATACGGTAGACCACAGGTTTCCCTTTCTCTTGATTTTTCTTCATTGGGTGCAATGGTGTGTTACAAGGGGAGGTGGTCTGGACAATTACCCCTGCCTGCAGAAACTCTTGCACAGATTGCGAAATAGCATCTTCCTGTGCTGGGCTTAGGGGGTATTGTTTTTGATAGGGAGGTTTGGCTCCGGGCAGGAGATTCACTTTGACTGGGGGCACAGAGAGTCTGCCTGTATCTGTCTTCCCTGTAGCCCATAAGGAATCAGGGACTGAGGACAAGTCAATGGTAGGTTCTGGCACATGGCTGGGCATAGTGAGAGTTGCCAGAACATTTGAAAGAGATATAATTTGTTTGTCCTCTAAAGGCACAGACAATGTTACTTTTCCAGTGGGGCTATACTGGATATTTGCACTAAGAGCAGACAGTATATCACTGCCTAGTAGATTAGCAGGGGCATGAGGGCTGACAAGTAGCCTTGTTACAAGGGCAGTAGAGTCGTGTAGCTTCAATTTCAGCTTGTGGGTAAGGGGAATGTCATTTTCGATACCATCCACCCCTACACATGATAATACATCATTAGATTTCTCATACGGGAACACATATTTTTCCTGTAACATTGATTTAGCAGCGCCAGTGTCTAACAGGAAAGGGACTATTCGGTCCCCAGGCAGTGTAACATTGATAATGGGTGAGGGTCCTGCAGAGTCAGGGATATTGATGATATGTAGGGACACTGGTTTGCCAATTTCCTATTGGGGGGGGGGGAGGGAGGTGGTGGTGGTTGGCTGTCATGGGAGTTATCATTAGAATCCTGGGGTTTTCTATTTTTAGGAGGACACTTGCAGTTATGTTTAATGTGTCCTTTCCTGCCACAATTCCAGCAGTCTACCTGCCTTCTGTCTCCACCAGCTCTAGGGACAGTTACAGCCATTATAGGTGTGCTCCTCTTTCTAGTATTTAGATTAGCCTCCACTCCCCTAGCCACCTTCACCAGATCACCATAGGTTAAACTTCTCCATTCAGGTCTAGCATTTTAAAGGCCAGTCCTTATGGGTATGTGGATACCATCCATGAAGCAGTTAATAAGCAGTCTGGTGGAAGTGGTTACAACATCAGTGTAACCCAATGCCTCCCAAGCCATTTGTAGTCTGGTGAAGAATGTTTCTACAGATTCATCTTTCCCTTGTAGTATATCTCCTAATTTATGGGCTAGTTCTTCTGTCTTTACCTTAGCCCATTCTTTCATTGCAGTGACATAGCATGCTCCAGATGCAGACTTGGTTCTAAACCATTCATCTGTTTGCATGTTGCTTTTTCTGAGGTTATGTTCATGGGCATCTGTATATTTAGCAATTATTCTAGCCCAAATGGGGCCAGCTTTTAGTGCCCCAATCTGTTTTAAATCCATCCAAGTACACTTGTAAGTAGCTTGAATGGTGGATAGAGACTGGACTAGAGCTAAGGGGGCCTTTTCAACATCTGCCAACTGCTGTATTATTGCCAGTTGTTCACTGGGTGTCCAGGGCTTATATTCTAATGGCTCCACTGGGGTGTCTGTGGGGGCAACTATGGTTCCTTTAAGTCTGGACTACCTTCCTGCTCTAATGAACCCATAGGTCTTACTGGGACACCATATGAAGTCCCACTGCGTAATATTACTGGAAAGAGAGGTTTTGAAGGGAAATCGCCTTGTCTTTTGGGACCAAAGGAGTCCCTGCAGTATCCTGGTAAAGGGGTGGGTTTACAAGATTTTTCCCAGGATCTTGCCTACTCTGGGACCCTAGAGGTCCAAAACATTAATAATATGGTACACCTTTCCTGGTGGTTTCTCTACAACCACATTTAGTTAATTCAACAGCAGTATCATGCCATTTTTGTGCGACTTCTACTAAGTCATTATCTTCTAACCAACCTCTGTAATTTGCCATAAATTCACTCCATATATGTGGGTCTAAAGTGCCTTCTGAGGGCATGCTAGCTTTCTTAAGTAACCTCTTAACATTCTTAATTGCTCCTTGTCCTTTGTGATGCTTGACAATAGTCAAAGCCATAAATCCCCCTTGGGTACTTTCAGAGCAACCCATCTTAAAACTTGTAAGGGTTATTTACTTCCTTACACAAGACAAACTGTACAAAAACAGTGTATTAGACACTTGGGACCACTGCAGTGGAATTTTCCCAGTTTTGTCTTCTAAACACAGATCAGAAGATCTGCCCTTGGAGGATTCTAACTCAAGTATAAAAACAAATGACATGGCAAACAATAAAAATAACTTACAACCCACAGTTATATTTCACTATCTCAAGATTCCTTTCACAAGACATAACACAACCTCCACCTGAATATAACCATAATACCACAGAAAACAAGTTCTTTAGATCAGACGTTTTTAAGTCGTTCTTTAGCCAGACAGACTAGTAGGACGTGGATCTGAGAGCGAAATTGATAAAGGTAGAAAAAAAGTTTTTCTTACCCTGCTGTACAGCTGATTTCACTGTCAGAGGGACGTCCACCTGTACGCTAGTGTCCGAGTCTCTCGACCGTCAGATCCCGGGGTCACGGCACCAAATTGTTGTGGATCAGAAATGGTGATCTTTGTTATATTCAGAGGAAGCCCAAATTGTTGTTACAAGTGCACTTGGAGTAGCAAGAATGAGACACCAGACATCTGTTGGTATTCAAAATAAGCTTCTGACGTTTTATTCATCAGCTGGGTTTTATACATTAAAAAGTAAGTGCTTATGTCCAAATACTCTTAGAACAGTAATAGGAAGGGAGTACAGATAAGACATAGGGATGAGCGTCATGTACACATAACAAATAAGTTTCAAGGTAAGAGAGAACAAAATGATTAGAGTAGAGACATCTTAGGTGGGGGCTCTCTGCTCCCGGAACTTAGACATATATGGTCTTAAGTGTTGTTTAAGCATCAAGCATTTCCTGAGTCCAAGTTAGCCAATTTTAATATAGGATATCATTATATGACACCTATAAACTTGAGCCTTGGAATCAAGATAAATTCTATCACAGTAACACAGAACTTTTTTATTAGAATAAAAAGCTTTTTATATAGCTCTACATATTATCTGAATGTGACATCTTCAGTTTTTAAATTAAATGAGCTAATTAAAAATGAGAAATCTAAAATTATTAACTATTACGTATTCATCCGCACATAAAAATCTTATTGATGGTATTTACTGTCATTCACCCAGATGCCTGGTACACGCCCATTCTTGGGTCAAAGTCCTTTTATGGCCAATCAGATCCACAAGAGGTTTATTTAAACACATTTCTCCATTCTCTATTTGACTTTGGCTTTGTTTTGACTTCCCTGATTTCTGGTATCCTTGACTTCTGGCTTTCTCTCATCTTTGTGTCTGATTCTGTGTCCCTGACCTCGGCTAGTATTTGGACTATTCTTGGAGACGTTAAGTCCGGCCATTCTAATGTCCGGTTATACATTATCCTTAGTCCTTGGTGTGACACAGTACTACGTGCTGGATCAAATTGTAATCCTGACATTAACTAAATCTGTGGATATTGTAAAACCAGCTAAAATTCAGAATCTTTCCCCTGTTAAATGCAGAAGGGAAAAGGACTTACATATAAAAATTGACATGAAAGAGTGGAATGAGGCCTTACAATCCATTTATTCTTCAGTCCATTGTTTAAATATTGGAAAAAGAGAAAGAAAACAGCGCTAAATTGCCACAATAAAATTATAAGAAAGGCAGCAATCCTCAAAGGGGAGTCCCCAATAATCCCCTAATGATAACAGATAGCAAGAACAAACATAGATATAAGGATGCGCCTAAAACTTGATAAAATAAAAGACTAAATTAGTCAGATAAAATACAGAATAAAATAAGTAATAAAACAGTAGTCCAATAAAATAGGCTTATCACAGTCCGTGAGGGTAGGTCCCACTTGTAAAGGAATATTCTTTAGGGTGTAGGTGGGATCATATCTTCAAATATTGAGAATTCAGCATATGTGGAGAGAAAAATAAAAACAGGACTCCAATGGCACAGTAAATCGGTGTATAAAATAAATATAAAGGTATAAAATCAGTCTTACTCACACTTTTCAGAGCTAGGATCAGCTCTGATATTGCTCGCGTAAAGTGGAATAATCCCCACTTCAAGGATATATGGAGTAAATGTTGATTGTTGAATATCTGACGTGGGTTCAGCGTTCAATTTGACGTGATACGACCCAGAGGAAAAAGTGAAATAAAATATATAGTGCTCACTGTATGTAATAAAATTAAAAGAAAGTAAAGTATACTACTCACATAAAGTAGAGCAGACTCAAAACTGCTCAGTGAAGGCGCTCAGGTGGTATAATCCCCACCTATGGATTATTTGCACTTCCTGCAGGGTGAGCCGTATACGTAAAAGCAATAAAAGAAAATGTATGTAAAATCAGGTAAAGGAAAAAGCAAATGGCAATAAAGTATTTTATGCCAATAAAATATCTTTATTATAGAGTTAAGAACAAAATCTATTAATATCTAAATGCGTTTCGCCTTAACAGGCTTCTTCAAGTAGATAGTGGGAAAGAGGGGGGGGGCATACCTGACATACATAAGCTTATATAGTGTATAATAGTACTTTAAATTTAAAATTCCCGCCAAAATGACGTCATAAAATTGGCATATAGATAATACAGGGAAGTTATTATAAAACAGTTATTGCACACATAAAAAATGACAATACAGTGATAAAAAGCATATTTGCATTATTTAAATATTAAAACGAAGGTTATAATTTACTTTTTAAGTAAAAAAATAAAGAAAACGGTCATGTGACACGGGATAAGAAGTACTTCCACGTCACATGATGCTCTGTGGCATATAGTGTAAGGGGTAGCTATCCTGCCGTTTATATGCAAGAGCAGGTAGTTCACTGACTGCAGGCAGACAGCCAGCCCCACATGAGTTCGAATCCAGTGAAGGACAACATGACTACAAAAGCATAGATATCTACACAGGCAAAATAAAATATATATAATGAATTAATTAAATTATTAGAATACTAAATAGCAAGTTTTTCATATATTTTGTGCAAGAACATAGATAAAATTAACAATGATTGCACATATGTGCTTGTATAAATAAATAAATATATATATATATATATATATACATAAAAATATATGTTTGTAATATAATAGAATATAAAATAAAATTATAATAGGTAGGATAGTATATATACATATATGTTTATAAAGGCACTTTTCAATATAAGTTAAAAAGGGGGAAGAGGAGAGTAAAAAAACAATACTTAAAAGGGTATCCTTAAAAAAGCCTTCATAATAAATTCTTCATCATCTTTATCTGATGTAGGCTCTTTAAAAAGTCTTAACCCTCTGGGGGTTATTCTTTCTTCTAAGTACTTTTTTAAAGTGGCTAATTCCCATTTTAATTTGATTTCCATTGTCAATGCTTTTTCTAATTTGATAAAAAGCTCTTTTTGATTGTGGTTATCAGTCCTTGTATATATAGGGAAATTTTATTCTGTATTAAAAGCATGATTAATATCTATAACGAAATTGCTTACATCTGATAAAGATG